AATGTTAAAGGAGTATGTATCAGAAAACTGCACTCTTCAGGCAAAGTTGACTCTTCATCTCCTTTTTATTTGTTGTATCTAAATACTACAGATGAGCAGCATTAGAGTATAAATGTGCAAAATGCTTGTTATGAAAAGCAGAATTTGTTAGGGGTGAACTGGCAGGGTCGTGCCCATTCTGACAAACTCTGGGCATGTAGAATTCCCCCCCCCAAAGCTATGAAATGGGGTTGATGATTGGCAGCTGCAGTGAGAGAAGGAAAGAGCTGCTCCAGCAGGGAATTCTATGGAGTTCATGAACAATAGTGCAAAACACAAGGGGTGGGGAGAGGGGGGAATTACAGAGGCAGCCTGTTGGTTCGGTTCTTCATAAACCTAACTTTTGTGTGTTTCCAGTGGTAATACTTTGTGGTGCTGAGGTCATAATCATACTGATGCTGATCTTCCTAAGGAATGGGATCCTGATCGCCATTGCATTGTGCTTATAAGAGCTTTCTCATTTGCAGTAAGACATTTCTTATCTCCCAGCTCCCTGCCTTAAGAGTACAGACGCTGTTAGCGGCCCCATGTATCCTGGGTGCAAGGAGGTGTGTGCCCAGTGTGGGGCACTGTTAATAGGAGCCTAAGAGCTACAGCTGCCAGCTTTGCTCTGTCATTGAATTGTCTCCAGAGAGACATATACTAGTGGTAGAGGAGTGGTGTTGTTTTGGCTGGGGCTTTTAATTTAGGAAAGACCTTTTTTTCTGGAAATGCATAAGTCACATAAGATGTGGGAGGCCTCTTCATTTTGTGTTTTCTGAAATCTGGATAGGCTTTATTCACAGTGGTTCCTGGTTTATCCAGTGCCAACTCTTAGTTGTGGTTTGAGTTTGGTTTGGGTTTGTTTTAATGGGAATATAAGAAAGGAGAAATGGACTTAACACGCCCTTGGATTTAATTGCAAATAAGCTAAGGCCTTGAGGGCCTCGGAAGTAAGGCTCTTTTAGAGCACATGGAGTTAGCTCTGAGTTTATCTGTGTGCACTTGCTTGTAGTTTTCTGCCCTCTCTGTTGATGTTATGGTTCTCAGGAGTCAGGGTTTAGGATTTTTGTAATGGGATTGGGAAATGCTGAGGTTCTGCCTTCAGCCAGGTACCTGTTTCCTGTCTTACGCTACTGTGCAGTCAAAGCATTGCAATTAATTTTGGCAGGACTGAATTATCCTCTTCAGTTCCTGTTCATGACAATACAGGAACACTGTTAACGCTCTGCAGCACTTTTGTTCACAACCTTGACAGGTAGAAGGATTTCAGGAAGTTCATAAACTTCCTGCTGGGAAGTGCTAACATTCTGTAGTTTTTCAGCAGCAGGGAAAGGTCACTTGAGGGTGATGGTTTTACTCTCCTGCGTAATGCATGAGGTGAAGCTCTGTGTGCAATTCCTGGAAACCTAACAGCCCATGCCCTGTGTTCGGGAAGGTGCAAACCAAGCTGCTAATGACTGGAAATCAAATTGCATTTTTCAATGCCTTTTAACTCCTCTTTCAAAACTACTGCAATTGTCTTGAAATCCATAGGGGCAAACAGTTAACAGTCGTTACTCCATCCATGGTGTCTGTGGAAACCAAGGGGCCTATCGTGACCTGCTGCACGCTGCTAGTACGTAGTGACTGTTTCTGCTGTGTACCCCTACTGGACTTCTGCATTTCCAGACTCAGACAGAAATGGATGTGTTGCTCTTCAGCTCCTGATTGCACATGAGGGTTTGCACATGGCAAATTGATAATGTTGATTGTAGTGCTGCTGATAAAAGCGGAGTGGTAGAAATGGCAAAGTGAAGATGTAAAGACATCTGAAGAAAGAGCCTGCAGTATTCTGAGATCCCAGCTCTAGATTATGCTGCCACTATCAATGAGTAGCTCAGAGTCAAAAGGATGATGCTAGAAGAGGACTGAAAAAAAAAGCTTCTTTCTTAAATTGCTGCAGCTTACTGACATGTTTTGTTTCTTTCACAGGACTGCTGGCTATATAATGTCTGTGTTGTTCTAGCCAATCGTCACCTTCATACTCATTGCAGTTTGTATTTCCTATGAGGCTGTGACAGCTGTGTATCCTTCTATCTGTGTACCTCTCTGGAGGAACAGTCTTCTGGTCTACAAGACCGGTTAAGTCTCTGCTTTCACCTTAGCCAAACCAGTGTTAAAAGGGCTATTTGGTCACTTGGCACTTGCTGCACAGGTGCACTCCTCCTCAGTGGCCATTTGCGTGTGATGTACTAACTGGATAGTGAATTCAATGTCATTAGAAAGAACTGGACTAAAACCCATGCCAAGGTAGAGGATCATACAAGGTCTTTTATACTACATAAGGTTGGCTTCAAGGGGTGAAAAAGGAACCTGAGCAAAGAGTGACTATGCCCTTCCTTGGCTGTATGCTCTGTGAACCTGATGTTAATGGTCGCTTAGTTAGCTTGGGTGGGCTCCACGTGTGTTTTGTACAGAATAATGTAGGGAAGGAGTGAGAGAACACAGAGCGCCCGGAGTCCTCTGAATTGCCTGACAGCAGCCATTGTCTGTCCCTGGAAAGGCAAGGCTTTGGTAAAGTGTCAGAAAGGGGACAGTCAGGTTTTGCAAACAAATTGTTCTTTGTCATGCAAAGAGGGCCATGGCATACAGCTCTGGGATGAAGTCTGCTGAGTTCTGTAAGTAATGAAAGTATTCAGTCTTGTCTGTGGCCCTTCATACCCATACTCTGCATAGCAAGAGCGTTTTTCTGTGAGCGGCACAAGTGTTTTAGAGCTTGTGGTTACCCCCTGCAGACTCCTGAGTTGCTCAAAGCCCTCAGCTCTGGGATTCCTCCTTCAAAAACCTCATTCAGTTTTCTGGCTACATCAGGAGAACCTGTGTATAAAGTAATGGCTAATCCAACACCATGCAAGTATGCAAAGCTGACTTGTGACCCAGAGGGAGGTGTTACAAATACTTCCCTGCTGTGAGAGCTATCCTAATTGTATTTCTTAATCGCTGTTAAATGCAATGTGAGAAAATGTGCGTACCTTAAGTAATGATTCCTCATGTTAAATCTGAAAATAGTGCTTGGTCTTTTGACTTGAGTGTGGGGTTGAATTGAAGTGTTTCTTGAAAACTAGAATTATTTATCAAATGTTATAGCAAGGTTATTTTCAGGTGTTTAAATGTCAATGCACTGCTGTGGTTAGGTACATCCCAGACAATTCCCCAACATCCTGATACCCGAACACTAAAAAAAAGGGATTAGGAACTGACTGGTTTTATTTAACGCCCAAACTGAGCAAACGCATGAATTGAACAACAGAAGTAAGGAAGAGTAATTTCATGTAAAGACTGCTCCTGTTTTAATACCGTGAGATGGGTAAGGGAAGCTGTGGCAGCTTGTACAGAATGGCTCAGCTCAGTTGATTTCAGCTCGGTTGTGCTGATTTGCACAGGCCTCTGGTTTTCAATTGTTCTTATTTCCTCATTGTTGCTTTTTATGTGAGCAGCTTTTCTTTAATGAAACGGAAGCGTTTGTGTATCTTAAAAGTATATTTCTGACATTCAGATTCCATATCTCTAGGTTTCAGTCGTGTGGTAAGCAGCCCTGTTTGCCAGCCGTATAGTTTAAAGTTAAATACCTGCATAGGACATGAGTCCTTATATATGCAAACAGGTTACATAGTACTGGAGTGCAGTGTTGAATGATCTAATGAGACATCAAGCAGAATGATGTGATTTGTATGAAGCTGCTAAATTTCAGAGCCTGTGAACACAGGATTCAGTGCTTATCATTGTGGTGTTGATTTCTCTTCCCGGACAGGCTTTTAGCACAACCAAGGTGACTGAACTGTGTGCAGGTGCTCAGCGTACTTTTGCTTTTTACGGAGGAGAAAGCCCGTACCTGAGTACCTCTTCATCTTCCAGGTAGCAGATGCCTTTGTCTTTCTCTGGCTGGTGAACTTTGCAGTTGCACTGGGTCCGTGGACCCTTGCTGGTGCCTTTGCCTCTTGTTCCTGGGCCTCTGGAAAACCAGCTGATGTTCCACTATGGCCACTCTTCATTGGAACAAGCAATGCGGTGAGACTGTGGGGCTGGACGTGAGCCCTGTCACATATCCAGCAAGTGCAGGTTTTACATGTAGGGAAGCCATTCTGCAGATGCTGCAGCCCCCCCGACCCGACTGCCGCCCCCGCAGCACGGGCACACACACGTGTGCACCTATGGTCTGAGGTGTCATGAGCCCAGAGGGCTGAAAAGCATTTCTCTTAGACTGTATGATTTATAATGGTAAGAGAGATATATAAGCATTTCTATTATTATTATGGATAATTTTAATTAGGTATATTTTTATATAATTATATATATTCTATAATTATAAAACCTTACTTATGTGTTCATGTGAAACTTTGAGCCTTGAGACTTTTGTTTGCATTTCATGATTTTTATGAGGGCACATTTCATTAAGGAGCCAACCCAAACCAGCCTGGGATTCTGAGATTCTGTGATTTTGTTCCATACCTTTAGCACAGGATGTAATTCTTAAATAATGGGCAAAATGAACCACAGATTCCTTCCAGTGCCAGTTATGTTAGTAGGGGTAAGACTGGGAAAGTAAATTGTGTTTTCTTCACCAGTGTCAGGAAACATGACCAAATTCAGGTTCCTCTTCATGCTGCATCAACAACCACCGCATCTTCAGGACCTGTGCATGCATCTTGTTCCAGTGCTAACTAGTGCAGTTAGTTAGTAACTACTGCTTGTGTCATAGCTACAGAAGATCCATCATGCCTCAAACCTTAAATGGTGCCAGGTGTGGCATATATGTAAGAGCACCAAGTTTTTACAGTGATGCCTCTATCTTCTCTCTGGCTTTTTAATTTTACTGAGAACTAACTTAGTACCTTTCTGACCTAGTTTTAGTTGTCAGTAAAGTCACTCTTTCCAGTTGTCTTCCTATTTTCTCAGTAGCCTTTGATCTGTAAGGATCCGTCCCAGCAGCTGTGGCTGTCAGCTTCAGTGTTTCTAGTGACTTTGCTGCTGCAGACTCTAACCAGGAAAATACTGAAAACCTCTTGATAGCCTTCATGACATGATGTGATGTGGCTTGTTCTTCAGGTGGCACCATGTCTTGAATGCAGACATCTGCTGCCAGTGACTACACCCACTTGCATTGGATGGGAGTCACCAATAGCTCCACAGGTGCAGCCCCAAACCAACATCTGCATAAAGGTAATGGAGAATAAATCTAACAAAAGAGCAATTTACCTCCTGGCATGCCTGTTTCTAACAGGTGACTTCTGTAAAAATAGTTTGATCCAGCTTGGGTTTCTCTGATTGCATTGTGAGAGCTTTAAGGGTTAATAGGATTCAAACCACCTTGAATAGAAATAAGCATTAAAGGTAAACCACATAAGCTGAGGAAGGCATCTTGAAGAGCACAGGAGGCAGTTGTGTGAAAGACAGGACACGTGCACTTGTGTTCAGTAGGGAGGTATTCTGTGATTCTGTCATTTATGGCCTTAGTAGTACTGAGCATTTCATTAAATGCGTCCTCATTACTCTGCTTCCCTCAGTTGATTGTAAGTGCTTGGCACAGATGGGCTGGCAGGACTGGGGCAGTGGGGAGATGCCCAAAAGGCTCAAGCGCCGCAGTAGTCAGTGATCCAAAAGTGCTGGTGGGCTTAACTAGACAAAATCTACCCTCCAGAATGCTCCTTACCCAAGGAGCAGACTCATGATTCTCAGCTCTGGTGGAATCTGGCTTGTGAGATACAGTGACTGTGCTCGGGCACCCTCATGGGGATATGAATCATTTTCCTTGCAGACAGTGGACTTGCTGCTTTGTGTGAGTGCAGTGGCTAAGCAAACTGGCACTAGTCTATACAAACATCTGGAGGTATTGATGCTGCATCTGCTGAGGGAACTGTACCATAGCTTAAAATGAACTGTCACAAAGATCCAGGCCTAACTAAAACCTGAAGCCCACAGCACAGACTGGAAAGATCTCTTCTATCTGCAGGGCTGAATAAGCACAGCACTTTGTAAGATCAAGTCCTCTTCTTATTAGTGCTGTTCATAGTTTGCAGATACCATGTGAAACGCATTCTTTCTCTACTTAAGAGGCCAAAGTAATATGTCAGGCATGTGGCACGTGAAATCTTGACCATAAACACTGTGTGACTTGTGCAAGCAAGCTGCCTGAAACACAGACACTGAGGCTTCTTGCATCAATCACAGCTGGGTTAATCAAATCAAAGCACAACATTCTTTTTCTCTGGAAAACTGAAGTCATAGCCCTGTGTCCCTGTTATAAAAGCAGAGATGGCCTCCCTCATGGGGAATTCAGGGCCCATACTCCCACAGATCATCCATCACAAATGTCCAGCTCAACAGAAGCGTACCTTTGAGTTCCTCCTGTGGAAGTCAGGACTGTGTGTGCCACTGTGAAAGCTGAGAAGGCTCTTAGAAAATGGGTAGTCTTGGCTCCAAGAGAGTTTTGTTTTGTTCAGATTGTTTTCAATTGCAGTAGAAAACTTGAGTGTCTGTATCAGGAAGACAAGTTTGGTTGTTTTCCATTATTTTGTGAAAAGAAAATATTCTTTTACGTTATTTTTCTTATCTCCATTTTCGTCTCCATCTCTATGTGCATACCGCTCCTGCGCTTGGATTTGGCTGTGACTGTAACGGATGGGAACCTCGCTGAGAGTTGATTCCCTCTCCTGACTGAGAGACAACCCAGTGTGGGTTTTTCACAGTGTATTTGGCAGAGTCCATGTGTGTATGTTCATGGTGAGTGTTTGTCGGAAAGAGGCAGGAAACCATGAGGGTGCAGCTGTTCCGTGAGCTTCCTGCTTGGGCACGCTGGGCCACCTGGCCAATGCTGTCAGTGTGACCAACACTGAGATGATGAGGAACTGCACGGGCCCACGAGTAAAGAGTGGCAGAGCTGGCATAAAGCCCCTTGTGTTTCTAAGGGTACAAAAGCAGGAGCCTCTTGTAGCTGACTCCGAGGCCTCACCTACGTGTGGATGGACCTCGTAGGAACTTTCCTGATTACCTGAGTCTCCCGGCAATGGCTGCAATGGGGCTTCCCAGCTGAAGTGTGGGCCTGGAGGATGGTTTGATGATGGCTGGTGATGTCTTTCTTCTAAGTCTCTGGCCTCTCTATGCAGTATTGATTCGATGCACTGCTAATTGTCATCTGTACTTTACTTATATACATGTACACAATTTGTTTTACTGTACTTACTTACTGTATAGAAATATCTACCCAGTTCGCTTTACTGTGCTTGTTTGCTTTAGTGTGCTGGTTTAATCCACTGTGCATGTTGTACAGCGAGTGTGTGATCACTTTGTTGAGTACCCTTCCTGTCAGCAGAACACTTGTGTACCCAGCAACCTCCCTGCCTCTCTTACAGACACCAGGTCCTGCTGCTTTCCCCAAGGTGGAACTGGACGTCTATGGAAAAGGACCTACCATGTACAGGATGGAACCAAAAGCAGCCTTGGAGGAGACAAAACAGCGAAGGGAGGGCCAGCAGACTGCCGCCCAGGCAAGGTAAGGCAGCCTGCCCACCTCTCCTCCTCTGCTTCGCAACTACCAGCCTTTGAGCATCCCCACCTTCTGTTGGGGCTTCTGAGAACACACGACCACCTTAGTGGAGTGACCAGCGACAGGACAGCAGGCCTGCTCCCCTGCCTTGGCCCAAAGCTGAGCAGAGGGAGGCCAAGCAACATATCTTTGCCTCTCCACTAGCTCAGCTGTTAATTAGTCTCAGCTATAAACATCATGCAGGCATGGGCTTAACTTTATTGAAGTTTGCACATAGACCTGCAACAAAATAAAGTGATTGAAATTGAGTGAAGTTTCCATCGAGTGACAACAAAACATAAAATGAAGCAGTGTGAGGAGGGGCATCTGTAGCAAAGATGGATTTTATTGTTTAAGTGAAAATTGGATGTTCTGGGCCAGTGGTGCCCTGTGGCAGCTTCTCACAGCTGCAGCTACATGACAGCTGACACAAAGGGCTGTGAGCAGCTGTAGCCTGTTAGGAGCAAGTGGAAGTGAAGCCAGAGTTAGTGTATGTAAGGAATGGAAGGAGAGCAGAGACAACTCCTAATTCAAGGGTATTGCCAAAGGTTAATGTTGCTAATTCAGGCTGTGGCTGATGACAAAGGCCGTGGAAGCAGTCCTGGCTCAGCTGGAGGAGTTCACCCTCTGGTTGCTCAAATGCATGGTGTATTTGGGTCACTGGTAATGCCGTCTTTTGTAAAGCCAGCTTGTTTCAGATGTCAAAGGGAGAAATAGAAATGTATGAGGACTTGAAAGGTGAACAGTGGCAGGGAACTCAAATTATCTACCTGTGAAAAAGATGAAAAGGTAAATATTAAGGTAACAAAAGATCCAAGAGATCTGAGGCTTTTTCTTTCTCCACCTGTGTTTCTCTGGGCAAATCATGTACTCCCCAGTCTAGAGGTGTCATTGCACCAGTGAAAAATCCTAAGCTTGAGAACGTCAATGGTTAGTTGAGAAGCTTTCAAAGAAGTGTGTTGGTTAGCCAGTGCTTGGAACCAGCTGTGGAGTGTGGCAGACATGCAGGTATGACTAGCATAAGCAACTGTGGTTGATCAGAGAGTTTACTGTTTCTGCTGAGTCATTCTTCTGGGTACTGTGAACCCAGGTGTAGCAGGGATGCTCTGTTGATATGAATCAACCCTACCAGTAGTTCAGTTTTATTAAAAATGAAGGTCACTGGACATTTGATGGTCAAGGGAATATTAGCTTCAAACTTGTTCAGACCTTGGGAAAACTTAGAATCATAGAATAGTTAGGGTTGGAAAGGACATTAACATCATCAAGTTCCAACCCCCCTACCATGGGCAGGGACACCTCCCACTAAACCATTCCACCCAAGGCTTCGTCCAACCTGGCCTTGAACACTGCCAGGGATGGAGCATTCAGAGCCTCCCTGGGCAACCCATTCCAGTGCCTCACCTGGAATTTCTTCCCTATATCCAGTCTAAACTTCCTCTGTTTAAGTTTGAACCCGTTACCCGTTGTCCTGTCATTACAATTCCTACTGAAGAGTCCCTCCCCAGCATCCCTATAGGCCTCCTTCAGATACTGGAAGGCTGCTATGAGGTCTCCATGCAGCCTTCTCTTCTCCAGGCTGAACAGCCCCAACTTTCTCAGCCAATCTTCATACGGGAGGTGCTCCAGTCCCCTGATCATCCTCATGGCCTCCTCTGGACTTGTTCCAACAGTTCCATGTCCTTTTTATGTTGAGGACACCAGAACTGCACACAATGCTCCAGGTGAGGTCTCACAAGAGCAGAGTAGAGGGGCAGGATCACCTCCTTTGCCCTGCTGGTCACGCTCCTTTTGATGCAGCCCAGGATACGGTTGGCTTTCTGGGCTGGGAGTGCACACTGAAGTCGGCTCATGTTCATTTTCTCATCGACCAGCACCCCCAGGTCCTTCTCCACAGGGCTGCTCTGAATCTCTTCTCTGCCCAACCTGTAGCTGTGCCTTTACTTCCTAAGTAGTGATCAAATTCTTGGCTGGTTCATATTTGCATGAGTGTACTGAACTCCCCAGCTGCAGGTCTATCCATAAATTACCCCTTGAGCTTTCCTTGATAATGAAATCAACACTTTAAATGTGGACTTTTTAACCATACCATATTGATGTTGTCAGATCTAACTGATATTCGTACACAAAGTGGATAGTTAGATAAAAACTGAGAGGACTTATTCTCTATTACTGGCAGTTTTTCCAAAAAAGGTTTGCTGGGTTTCTAGTGTAAGGAAAGCAGTAGAAAACACTGTTGGCATATGTTGCCCCTACTTTGCAGCACGTTGAACCCCGAGGCAACTCTTAAACGTCAATAGCAATAGAAATTACTACTAGAAAAACAGCACTAAGAGCCAAGTAGTGGTGTAGGAAACCCTCTTGATTCCAGAAACTGGTGATGTTTTCTCAAAGTTTTTAAGGTTTTCAGCAAATAATATATCAGATACCACAAATTGAGGAATGATAGTAAGGTAAATGTGGATTACTGGATCAGAGAACCTGCAGTTTCTTGCAGGGCATGGAGAACTTTAATTTTGCATCCAAAAGGGATAGGAAGTTTTATATTTATTTTTCTTGAACTTTGATACAAATTGTTATTGTTCCAGAGCTTTTTTCCGGATCATATGATACCTTTTTCCAAGTGAGCCCCATGCAG